ACTCACTCTCACACTCTCTCTCACTGACTCACACTCTCACTCACTCACTCACTCTCTTTCACTCACTCTCATTCACTCTCGCACTCTCATTTACTCACTCACTCGCTCATTCACTCCCTCACTCTCACTCTATCACTCACTGACTCTCACTCACTCACTCTTTCACTCACTCACTCTCACTCATTCTCTCATTCACTCTCACTTACTCACTCTCATTCACTGACTCACTCACTCTAATTCACTCATTCTTACTCTCTCACTCACTGACTCTCTCACTCTCTAATTCACTCACTCTCACTTACTGACTCATTCACTCACTCACTTTCAAAAAAAAAAAAAGAATGTACAAATGTGCTTGGCACAATGGATGGATGGATGGATTGTGCTAAGAGCTGTATGAGTGCCCAATAAAATGATTTAGGGAAAAGAATAGTCTTGGAAACTCACAGGAGCAGTTGGTTGCACCCTTCGCTACAGGGTCACGAGGAGTAAGAACTGGCACAATGGCAGTGAATGAGATGATAATTCTATGTTCAACTTTGAGAAGCTGCCAAACGGTTTCCACGGTGGCTGTACCATTTTATGTTCCAACTAGAAGTGAAAATTCCAATTTCTACACATTCTTCCTGATTTAAAAAATGTATATACATATTTTTTATCATCACCAGTCTAATTAGGGTGAGGTGGTATCTCATTGTGGTTTTGTTAACAGGGAATATAGGAAACGAGCAAAAGGTCGTTAAAAAGACAAGAACGAAGGGATGGGGGAGTGGGAAGGGAGGGGGAAAAAAAGAAAAATGAGGAGTTGATTCCAAGAGCCCAAGCGGAAAGTGTTTTGAGAATGATGAGGTCAACAAATGTGTAAGTATGCTTTACACAATTGACGTATGTATGGATTGTGAAAAGAGTTGTATGAGCCCCAATGATTTAAAAATATATTAAATACCTCACAGAAAGATATAATACCTCACAGAAAGCAATAAAATACATGAGATGAAAAAAAAAAGACAAGAACGAAAGAAAAAACAAAATGGATGTCAGAAGAGACCCTGAAACTTACTCTTCAATACCAAGTTGCTAAAAGCAAATGGATAAAATGAAGTAAAAGAAATGAAGATTTCAAAGGGCGGTTGTTCCTGATCATAGGTAAAGTATGATAGTGAAATATACAAATCCCTGGAGCTAGAAAACGGAAAGGGAGGAAATACACAAAACAATGCTATTTGTGGTTTGTGTATACTTGAAACTCACTGCCACTGAGTCCAGAGCAACACAATCATACAGTGCAGAACTGCCCACTGAGGCTCGAACGCTGGACCTCATCTTTCTTCTGAGGAGCAGCTGGTGGTTGTAACTGCCCCCTTGTGGTTAGCAGCCCAACACATAGCCACTACACCATCAGGGCTACTCGTATATATACTATGTAATATAAAAAGTGTATTCACTCACTGCTAAGGAGGCATTTCTGACTCAGAGTAGAACAGCCCCTTTGAGTTTCTGGGACTTAAATCTTTTTTTTTTTTCTCATTTTGAAAAAGCTATTCTTTTTCCAAATGTGTGTTTTACAGACAAAAGTCAATAATGGGTCAGAAACGTTCTATAGAAGAAATCGTCTTTATAAACATCATAGGAATAAGCAGCAGCTCACATGGGTCTACATGTCTGTGGCTCTGTGCCAGGACGACGTAGCTGTGTCCAGGGGAAGAATTCCGAAATCAAAGTGCACGACGGGATGGCTGTGGCTTTCCGTGCCACCTTCCCTTACAGCCTATTTTCATGGTTGACTGAGATGCCACAATGACCTTGGAAAGTAGAGCTCCACTGGACAAGGTAAGGGTAGAGTGGAGTCAAGCACTGGAATGAATTCAAGTTTAGAACTAGATTCAACCTCACCCAAACCCAATGTCCAGTCTGAGACTCATCAGAGATAAATACAAGTTTTAGTATCACATTTACAAGGCCTGTGGCTATTTAAACTATGAAGAGCTAAATTAAAGCCAAGCAGACTCCCATCAACAGTTCCAGCCTGGCCTTCTTTGTGAAGCCTCCACTCAAAGTGAGAGAAGGGGAACTGGTGAGTCCTCAGAGAGAGCCGTCCTTCATCCTCTGTCCAACCCTTTTTTTCCACTGCCCTCCCCTCCACCCACCCTGAGACAACAAATCACTTTACCAAAGAGGTCGGGTTTGTGTCAGTCTCATGGAAATTAGTTCGAAATGACGTTTGGAGCAGCAATTGACTTTAAGCCAAAAGACATTTCCCACCACCCCTCAGGCTCCTCCAGGAAGAATCACAATGAATTCCACACTACCCCTCTCACTCCTGCAACTATCTCCCACCTAAAAGCTTGAAACAACCAGCATAGGTGTTGATACGTTACTTGAGGAGGAGAGGAAGATATATATAGTTTTAATAAAACCCCCATGCACACTTAAACTTGATTAAAAGCTCGGAGAATGCTAAAAGTAGTAAGTACAGGAGCCTGCAGGGCAGAGTACACGTGCAGGGCGTCTTGCAGTCAGTAAACGCTGTGGAAGTCACAGGCAGACATGACTTCACTTAAGCACTGGAGAAGCAAAGAGGTTGCCTTGCCGTCCAAGATTGGTGGCAGACTTGCTTTTGGTCCCGAATCTGGGAGTGTTCTTGGTGAGGGTGAAGCGAACTCTCTGTGACAGGGAGCTAGAGGAAGGCATCTTGAGGAGTTGGTACTCAGGAGTGGTCACAGGCCCCAGTAAACTCACTTTAATGTCTGGTGTCTGTGGGGTCGAGAAGGCATTTGAGTTTTCAATGACATGCATGGGGTCGATGTTCTCTTGCTCTACCATCATGAACTGACTCCAATATTCCAGTGGCAGTGCAAGCAAGCGCTCTATCACCTTGGGTGGACACTTGATGTCCTGTAACATTGTGGGACTTAAATCTTTACAAGTAGAAGGAAGCCTCATTTCTCTTGAGAAGCAGCTGGTAGGTTCGAACCACTTGACTAACTAGCATCAGTGCATAGCCCACTACACCACCAGGGCAGTCTTAAAACAGTACAAAGAAGACAAAGTAGCTCCTTTAAAATCTGGTTACAGAAAAGGTAATCAAATTCAGGAATGATTACCTCTAGCGAAAATAGAGAACAAGTCTGGAGAGAGAAAAGGGGCTCCAAATGTATCTGGGATGCTTTAAGTATAATCTGAGTCAAGACTGGCAAAATGGTAGGATTTGATACAGCTAGACAAAACAATGGATATACGAGATGCTTAATATTAACTGTACCTAAGAATGTTTGAAACATTTCATAGTAAAAAAGTTGGGTTAGCATAGCAACTACTTACCATGTTCCTCCCCATCTTCTTCAAATATAACACAGGTCCCAAGAGTGTCTGCAGAAAAATTCGAGAACTGTTTTCAGAAACCAGCAGTTACCATATTTTTTTTTTAAAGAGTGATGGTGGAATTAAATTTATCTGCTATCCTCCTACCTTCATACTCCCCAGCAAAGACATAATTGTCCACCTGCATGATAGGCTTCTCAGTGTCAATCCCCTACAACAGAATATAGGATCGTAAAACCACCTTTAGAAAAAACCACGGAGCATGAACCCTTGCAACCAGGAGACTGATCTCCCAAACTGAAGAACCTCCAGAGCTTCTGGTCCCAGCACCTTCAATATAAGCCAAAACTACTTTGTGCACGGCAGCTAGTGAAGACCACTTAATTCACATTCAAACAGCAAGAGACCTTGCTATTTCAATCAACATCCTCTTCATGTCTCAGGTAGTTTTGTCAAACCTTTTTTGTCAAGAGTAACTAAAGATTTTACAGTGATAAAAACAAAGGTCAACAAAAGGTGCAAGTCAACATCAGAGTGAGAGAGACCTTTGAGGTCTGACTTAGGTGGCTTCCCTCCCTGGTCCAGTATGTGTGTAATTGATTTTCCCTCCTTCACTTTGCATGTCTTTCCCCCAAATTTTCTAAAATACATATTTTTTCCAAATATACTGCATCATTATGTATCAACATATACTAAAATCTGACCCCTTCTAAATCTTTTCACTCCAGCCATACATTCCCCCAAGCAAAATTGGGGATTCTCCTGATTCTCCTATCTGCTCCTATAGTCCTTTTATGTACTTCTATAATGTACACTGCTTTCTATCATGGAATAAATATATTAATCTTTGGGGACTAGTTATTCCACTATTCTTTCCTGCTTTAAACCGAAGAAAATCAACAACAATCCCAATTCTGGAAAACTCACCAAAATCTTGCATTTATTTTCACATTTTGAGAGAAAGTCTGAATCAATAATTCCTGACAATTCCACCAAAACCAACTGCTCCTGGTGGAAGAAAGAGGGTTAGCACATTAGCACAAAGGGGGAAAAGATCCCAAATTCAAATACGTTTTTCAATAGCGCCTCCTTTATGAAGTATGAAACAGAACAAAGAAGACAAAGATGAACGAATCGTCTGGTTGAAGGAGCCCATCAATATGAAGCCATAATCTTGTGGCTAGTGGGTACCATTGGGCTGTGATTCCCCAAGGTTGGCAGTTCGAAAATGCCAGCAGCTCCGCGGGAGAATGACGGGCTATCTAGTCTTGGAAACAGTTATGTCTTGGGAAACCACAGGGGCCATTCTAACCTGTCCTACCGGGTCACTGGGAACCAGGATACAGACCTAATGGCAGTGAGTTTGTCTTTTGTTTCTTTAAGAATTAAGGAAGGAGCAGTTGAGATGCCAATCAAAGTCAGCAGTTCACAACCACCTGAGGGTTAAAGATGAGGTTGTCTGCTCCCATAAAGATTGATAGCCTCACACACCTACCCAACGGGCAATTCCACCGTATCCGGAAGGGTGGCTAAGGGTCAGAATTGAGAATCCGGGCAGTCGGTGACAGTGAAGGATTAACACTCATCTGATAATTTAAAGTGGTCACGTACACAAAAGAAACAGTCACAAAATTACAATTGGCGGGAAATCAATGCATCACAAAAGGTGGGGCTACTAAAGTGGGAAAGCGACCGTGATTGGGATGCTCCCACAAACTAGTACAGTTTACAAGGCTGGTTCCGGGTCCTCCGATCAATTGGGGGAGCGGCGGGAGATGTGGGGGTGTGATTCACAACCTAGTACTCCAGTTTCCATCAAGGCCACGCCAGGCAAGCTGTCAAGGGCCGGACGGCTCTTGCGTGCTAGCCAGGAGAGTTGCAGCAACTGTGAGAGCAAAGCTTTTCAAAACACGGCAGATGAGTGGTCAGAGAGAAGTCAGCGCAGGCTGCCGAGTCCATGTGGAGGCTCAAAATGGAGTTAGGGCGCTCTGTGAGCCGCAGCCTTCCCAACGCCTAGTGTTCAGAATTCAGGCTCTAACGCAGCGTGCCGTCCAGTGACAACAAAGGAAGTTTAAAAAAACACCGTGAGCAAACCGTAGTGCAAGCGCGCTCCTGCTTCCCAGGACGGGTGGCACGCTCCGTTTGCTAAGGCCGTCTCCTCGTACCCCCACCCTGACCACACTGGCAATTGGGGTTGAGGCCCCACCCTCGCAGGCACCGGCAGCCGGGGCCCGCCCTCCAGC